ATCCCTTTATGTAGGTCAGCCCCAGTCTTTTGACTTGAAGTTCAAACGAGCTGAAGATTATCCCATTGACCTGTACTACTTGATGGACCTGTCCTACTCAATGAAGGATGATCTGGAGAATGTCAAGAACCTGGGAACCAGTCTCATGTTGGAGATGAAAAAGATCACCAGTGACTTTCATATAGGTGAGGATTATCAGTAACACCTCTTTAATTTTCTCACTATAAAATGTAGTTACACAAGTAAAGAAAGACTTTTATAACTGCACAAATATACATTTGTAGCCCCCCTCGAAATTATAAAAATAAATAGATAGACAGTTCAGAGGTATACTCTTAAAGCAATTTTGAGGTTGGATGAAGTTCTTTTCAATTCAATTCTCATTTAAAAACAAGCAAAAAAACAAAAAACGAATCATATACCGGATTAAAAGATAATCAGGCCATTGTGCCTCACACCTAACCCCATAGTTACAGACATACGCATTGTCAAAGCAAACATCTAGTTTAGTTTTAAATTTATTTTGCAGGTTTTGGTTCGTTTGTGGAGAAGACGGTCATGCCTTACATCAGCACCACTCCATCCAAGCTGCTAAACCCGTGCACAGGGGACCAGAACTGCACCAGCCCCTTCAGCTACAAGAATGTCTTGAGTCTGACCAGTGACGGTAATATGTTCAACTCTCTGGTGGGCAAGCAGCAAATCTCAGGAAACCTGGACTCTCCAGAGGGGGGCTTTGACGCCATCATGCAAGTGGCTGTTTGCGGGGTAAGCGTCAAGAAAAGGAAAGTGATCCTGTGGGGAAATTTTCACTCTCAAGTAATTTTCCAGTCATTATGGGGCTTGCTTGGAGGGATATAGTGCCAGTAAAAGTGTTTAGATGTAGTGTCAAAAAGGTATTTTATGAGCGCTTGGTGTTTACAAGGAGATTTGTGGATGTAGTCAAAGATGTGTCACATATTAAGCTGTTCTGGTAATTCCTTAATATATTTTCTCTTTTATTTATCAGAAGGAAATTGGCTGGAGGAATGTTACGCGTCTGCTGGTGTTCTCCACTGATGCCGGTTTCCACTTTGCTGGAGATGGCAAACTGGGAGGCATTGTACTGCCTAATGATGGAAAATGTCACTTGGAGGACAATGTGTACACAATGAGCCACTATTATGTAAGCAGTTCCTTTGTGCTTTGATTGTTTTGTACAGGTTAGCTGTGTTGATTTTGTAAATATGGCTTTTTCTCTTCCTTGGTCTTTTTAAGGATTATCCCTCAATTGCTCACCTGGTGCAGAAGCTAAGCGACAACAACATTCAGACTATCTTTGCAGTCACAGAGGAGTTTCAGCCTGTGTACCAAGTTAGTTCTTCTTGTTATCCCTGTGATCTCATTCACGTCTTTCTTCATTGTCATTTTTTAAGCATGCATGTGTTTGTCCAGTGCAACAAAAACATCTGCAAAAAGCTTAGCCATCTGCTAAGTGAAGACTACCATCCCCTTGAAGTTCTCATTATTTCTTGCTAACAAGCTGTTGCTTTTTAGGCCCACCTTTCGAAGTGTGAACACCCATCAAAGCAATAGTTGAAATTTGTGTGATCAGAATCTGCAATAAATTATTTTTGTGGGCTGTAGTGTAAGTTGAAACAACTTGTGTCTCTTTCTGAGGCCACGAGATTAATAGAGTTCTGAAGTTTTGCTCTGAACATGCCTCTTCCTCCACAGGAACTGAAGAATCTGATACCAAAGTCTGCAGTGGGTACACTGTCTGCCAACTCCAGCAATGTAATCAACCTCATCATAGACGCTTACAATGTAAGTGCATTGTTGAGATTTTTTGCTGTAAGCATAATGTCATAAAACTTTGATCAAGTTATCATTTCCTCATATGAACTCTGTTAAAATCTTGTAGCGATTACTGAGCTGGAACCTTTTTTGTACTTGTATTCTCATTTAACCTACAGCCATGCCTTTGTGTGTTGTACTCTGTCAAAGCAAAGCTACCAGATGACATTCCAAAGCAGGAAAAAAACCTTCATGTTGTTATGTTTTTGGCTTTTGGCAGTCTCTCTCATCTGAAGTTATTCTAGACAACAGCAAGCTTCCAGAGGGAGTGGAGATAGAGTACAAATCGCAGTGTAAGAACGGAGTGGTTAACGACAAGGACGATGGACGAAAGTGCTCCAATATCTCAATTGGAGACGAGGTGGGAAATACAGAATGGCTTCTTGTTGTTGCAGTTCACAGTTCATATTTTCTATTTCGGTTTTCACACCATTCTTCTCTCATTTAGGCTTTCTTTCTTATTCCATTATTCAGGTCAACTTTAACATCACTGTGACATCTAAGGGCTGTCCAAATGAAGGCAAGAGTGAGACCATCAAGATAAAGCCCCTGGGATTCACAGAGGAGGTGGAGATTATCCTCAACTTCATCTGTGACTGTCAATGCCAGAATAACGATGTTGTTAAAAAAAGCGAAAAGTGCTCCTTAAATGGGACCTTTGAGTGTGGAGCGTGCAGGTAAGCCTTTAATTCAAAAGATATTTTGCTGAAAAATGCCATCGTTCACTTCTCGCCTTCGCATGTACTTGGACTTCTTTTAAAATGCATCACAACCTCCCCTTTATTGTGTCAGGTGTTTTGAAGGCCGTGTGGGTAGAAATTGTGAATGCAGCAGCAACGACATGGCTACAGACGACATGGATCACAACTGCCGTAAAAACAACAACACGGATATCTGCAGCAACAACGGAGAATGCGTGTGCGGCACATGCGAGTGCAAGAAGAGACCCAACCCAGAGGAAAGGTACAGCGGCCAGTTCTGCGAGTGTGACAACTTCAACTGTGACCGCTCTGGAAACAAACTGTGTGGAGGTGAGTGTGTCAATGTTACAGATTATATCTGTGGCTTCATTTAAGTGTTTAGGCCATTTACAGTATTTAATCACAATTTTCCTTTTTTAACTTTTTTCCTTAGGGAATGGACGATGTGTGTGCAGGGAGTGTATCTGCGACCCCATGTGGAGCGGTAGAGCCTGTGACTGTTCTCTGGACAACAGCACATGTTTGGCCACCAACAAACAGATCTGTAACGGCAGAGGAAGATGCGAGTGTGGTGTTTGCAAGTGCACAGACCCCAAGTTCCAGGGTCCCACATGTGAAACGTGCCCTACCTGTCCAGGAGTCTGCGCTGAACACAAGTAAGTCTGATGTGCAGAAATAGTTTTATACTGTCACTGGAAGTGCATCCAGGCTGGAGCAACCTCGGTTTCATTTCACTTTATTATTATTATTATTATATATATATGTATATTATTATTTACTTTAAATGTGATCCCTTTATGTAGGTCAGCCCCAGTCTTTTGACTTGAAGTTCAAACGAGCTGAAGATTATCCCATTGACCTGTACTACTTGATGGACCTGTCCT